CCTCTTCCCCACCCACAGCACCACCAAAAAAGGTTCCACACCTCTCCCCTCTTCCCCCCGCCAGCACCGCCCCTAGTTCAGCCTAACTGCTGAGGCTGTCAGCCTGACCAGCCTGCAGTGTGGTCTTCAGGAAAGACACCTGAATCTTCATTCCCTAATGAGAACAAGTTGACTTTTTTACTTCTGAGCTAATCTACCATTTTATTCACGCAACTGTCCAGAATCAGGAATGGGTTCTGGACAAATGGGGCATTCTATCTTCTGCTTCGTTCATTCACTGTAACAGCAGGAGAAGAAGCTGGGCACAGCTCCGGGGACAGCTTGAGTGACACATTCTGAGCAGATAACACACTGGGAGCTTCTCTAGCACATCAGCCATGAGACGTTCCCACGCTGCGCCTTCTCCTCCTCGGTCAGCTGTTGTTCTTTGCTCTAGTTTGAATAATAGCTCCCAAGTCGCCCTTGCGGGGTTTAGTTCTTCCACAACAGCACAATGCTCCTGCAGAGCTGGGGCCCCCATTGCAGCAAGTTCTCGTCCCTGCTCTTTCTCCAAACCCTGGAGAAGCCATTCCTTTACCTGGAAATCTCCTCCGGCTGCTCCCTCTGGCCTGCTGCCCTGCACACAGCAGAGAATGGAAGTTCTGTGGTTCCTGCTCCATCATCATAATTTTTTTTGAGGTTTCCTTTGGGGGCTGCTTCTTCTCATTCAGAACAGCTATATGCAAACCCCCCCTTGTTCCTGCATCAGTGTTTTCTGCTTCAGGATCCTAGATGTAGTGACCTTCAGCAGCTACGAACTTCTCTCAAATGCTGAAGGATTGTTTCTGGTTTGTTTTTTTTTTTAAGATTTATTTATTTATGCATACAGAACTACAGAACTGGAGTACAGACCAGAGGTGCAGGGGCAGTGAGAGGATTCCCAGAGGGGGTGGGGGGCAGAACAGGCAGATCCATGAAGTACACTGCTGAGGGGAGCAGTGGGGAAGACAGGAGAGGTCTGCCGCGCCATGTGGATCTCTTCCAGGGATCGAACTCACACTGAAGTGGCTGTGCTGGCTTGCAGTGCTGCATCCTAAACCATTGTGCTACCAGGAGGGCCCTGTTTCTTATTTTTAAAGATTTGTTTTTACTTATTTATTTTTGTGGACAAGAACTGGGGTACAGGCCTGAGGGGTAGGGGGTGAGATTCACCAGAGACAGAATATGGCGTATAACACGTATAATAGGAGCATCCACTGAGGGGAGCAGTGGGCGATACAGGCGAGGTCTGCTGTGCCATGTGGGTCACCTCCCTGGCTGGGGATCGAACTCATCCTACAGTGACTGCTGCTAGCTTGATAACGTTCAGACATTAACCACTGTGCCACCAGGGAAGCCCTATTATTGCTGCTTTGAGCACTGGAATTTTGTGGGTTTTGTAATTATAATATCCAGTGTTTGCTCTTGTGCTGTATGTCTCAGAATCTACTAAGTAAGCATGGTTATTTAAGTTTGGCTGGTAACTCCACTCTCTGGATCCTCTAGATAACTATTTTCATTACATGTTGCTCTTGTGGGTTTGGTGGCGTCCTTACTTCTGTGAGAGCTGTGTTGTTGTTCATTCTTCCTCCTCAGGTGTAAACTTTTACAGTTCTCAACAGAGCCTAGTGTGAAACAGGGGGCGTTTGCCAGACCTCTCTTTCTTAGTGAGATATGAACTACAGTTTTTGTCATTCTAGTCCCATAAATTTTTCGAACATTCTGTTTCACTTCTCAGTTCTCTCTTTTGGAAGTGGCAACCTCAAAAGAGCTCACCTTTCTTACTTCTTTTCTGCAAAGTTAACCCGCTGACACTGAGTCTGCTGTCACCCCCCAGGAAGGACAACTGAATGAGCACAGACATGCGAAGTGCAGGGGCATTCACCTGGCCTTCGCTCACTCAGCTGCGTCACCGTCGGTGCTGTGCTGACACTCTGCGTCACCGTCGGTGCTGTGCTGAAACTGAGAGGTGGCAAAGGATCACGCCACATTCTCAGCAGGCACACTCGCTCAAGAGCGGAGGTCAAGAGAAGGGATTCTTGGAACACCAAAGAATTCCTTTTCTTTGAAGGCGTCCCCTAGGGAAGTAGAATGCTTCTGAGCTAAGGCTTGAAGCACAAATAAGAGTTTACTAGGTACAATAATTGGAGGAGTTTCCTTGCAGAGAAAGTTCATGGGGCATAAGAAAGCCTTGGGCAGTCGGGGAGGAGCAAACTGGAGGTGGCTGAGGGCTAGGGTGTGGTGTGGATGGGCAAGGGAGGGTGTGATGTTATGGGCCCCAAAATGTGAGAGCAGGGAAGGCAGGGGCCTGGTGTGACACTAAGGAGTCTGTCCTTGGGCTCTCCCTGGGAGGGTTAGAGGGTGTGGACAGAGACTCCCCAGAAGCCAGGTTTGGACAAGGAAACTAGGACACAGATACTAAGCTAGAGATGAGGTTCTGCCATTAACCTGCCCTACTTGAGCCCTCGGTTTTCCCATCTGTCAAATGGGAGTTTCCCTGGGTGTTCATTCCGACCAGCTTTGGTCTGTCCAGACGTTGTCAAGACAGAATGAAAATTGCTCAGGGTGCAAGAGAAGAAAAGGTGTGAAACTCCTACTTCCAGATTCCAGACTTCCCTCTACATCCCCCAAGTCCTAAAGGCTTTAAAAGCCTCCCAGCATCGGGCAGGTCCCTCTCTGGTGGCCCAACAGGTTAGGACTCAGCACTGCAAGGGAGCAGCTGGAGGGTCAGGAGAGGTCTGCCGCGCCATGTGGTCACTTCTGGAGCAGGCGGGGATCGAACTCATGCAGAAGTGGCTTTAGCTTCTTAGTGCACTAGGGAGGGCCCACATAAATCAATCTTTAAAAAAAAAACCTCCCAGCATCCCTGCCCCCCTCATAATTTCGGCTTACTCCGGAGCAGAGGTTCAGGATGTAGAAATGAAATTTCTGATCTTCGTAAGACAATCTTTGCAAATACAAGTCAGGTACTGAGTGCCTTCACATGCACCCCCAGAACCCTGCCCCCTCAGGACTCAGCTTGTCCAGTTGCCTCTTGGGAAGAGGACAGAGGCAGCCCAGGGTGATGGAGCCAACTCTAAGTCAAGCAACCGTGGACTTCAATTTAGGTTTCCTGTCTCCTGCCTCAGAGCTCCCCAGAAACTGCTGCCTCCACAACTCGCATGAACCCCTAGAAGCATCTCCCATAGGACCAGCAAGACAACTGAGCTTTGAGTCAATGGTCAGGGGAGCTCTTCTGGAAGAGGAGGCCTTGGAGGGTTCCTCTGATTTCCTCTCATCTCTCATCCTTTCAAGGGGCCTCTAAACTCCTGCCCCCCCCCTTCCTCTTCACTTCCTGACTTTCTCTCACCCTCTGCTCTTTCAGTTCTTTGTTACTGTTTTTCTTCGTCATTGTTAGAGGCCATCAGCCCCCTGAAATTTTTTTTATGCTTGCAATACAAGTACCAGAGGGGTAGAAGGGAAGTGAAAGGGACTTTTCTTTCACTATTTCTCATGCAAATGCGGCATGAACTGGACAAGGAAGGAAGGGGGAGAAGGGAGCTGCAGCCCCAGGTCCTGGGGTAGGTTGGGGGAACAGAAATCAGGGCACTCCCTTCCCCCACACCCCACCAAGGTTACATACCTGGCTGTGCACTCTGATTGAGATTCAAGTTCAAGTGACACAGGCTCCACCACTTACTAGCTTGGACTCAATATCTAGCCCCGTTTCTTCACCGGGAAAACAGGGATCATTATACAACCCACTGCACAGCCTCGCTGGTGAGAGGGTAAGCAGTGAGCTCCAGATTCACCTCAGAGTCCCACCCCTCGCTGGGACTGTCTTCACAGCCATCACTGCCCCAACCCCTTTCCACTTTGGTTGACTCACCTGCTCTTCCACTGCATCCCCCCCACCCCGCCCCCTCTGAGATCTCAAACAATCCATCTGCTATTTTCTCCACCCAAAGCACAAAATGCTAGCTGGGACTTAAGAAACTTAATGATCCAAGTCAGCCTTCTCACTTGAAATGACAAAGCTGGAGGAGCCTCCCCAGAAGCTAGGCCTCCCCATTCCCAAAATGCGGGGGGGGGGGGGGGGGCCCCTGCCTTTCACAAACATCCTCCGCTGCTTCCTGAGACCTAAATCTACCCCAGTCTCTTCTCCTTCAGCAACTGCACCCCCCTCGTTTCTTTTAATTACATTGACTTTAATCCTCCAGCAGCTCGTTAGAGGATGAGAGGTCATTTCTGGTCCTGGGCCTCAGAGTGCACAGGTGATTCAGTTCCATCCTGCATAGCTGCAAACCCAGGGCCTCATTTACTGCCCCACAGCTGTCCCCTGGGATTTGCCTCAGGCCCTTTCCAGAAGCCATCGCCTGGCAGGGCCTTAAAACTATAGGAGAAAATAATTTTCCCACTACCCTTCTAGGTTCCTGGCAGTGACACCCCCTATAACAGAAACAAGATTAAGAGGAGAAAAAACAGACGTTTAATAGCAGTCTACCTCCTGTATACATGGGAGGCCCAGGGAAATGGAGTCACTCTGAAATGGCCCAGCTGGAAAACAGTGAAAGACCAACATGGGGGGAGGGGAAGGCCCTGCAGGAGGTCACAGGAAGGGCACAGTTGACCTGGCAGATTTAATTCCCTGCCTCCTCACAGCTGGCCTCCTAGAGGGTCATCTTCCTCTTCCGGGAGGGAAGACCCCTCCAAATGGAGAGTTCCCTTATAAATTAAAACGTCTCTTATGCAAAAGTAAATTCTACTTATTTCAGAACTTCCCCTGTATCTGCTGTTTCTTAAAAATAATTAACCTAAAATAATCCTTATGCCAAAGAGACATGTTGGGGTGTCAACATGCTTCCCTACAGATCCTAGCACTTGTAAACTCACCCCACAGAGTACAGTAAAAAGGAAGCCAGCCACACCCCACCCTGCAAAGGTCCTCCTTCCTCCCCCTTCCACCCCGCCTCCTGGTTCAAAAGCAGCCAAGGCTGCAGAGGGCGGCAAACGCCAGCTTCTCTCCAACGGCTGCTATCCGGCTGCTATCCCGCGCTGTCCAGGTCTGCAGAGATGAAGGGCATCTTCCTCCTCCTCCTCTCCATCAGCCTCCTGCTTCTGGTTCAGGTAAGAGCAGCCCCCAGAGGGCCCCGCACCCCGTCCAGGATCCACAGACCGGCCTTCTCCCTGGGAGCCCGGCTTTGGCAGGGGTACCAAAGGAGGACTGGGGGGAGGGAGGCTGGATCCTAGTTTTGCGGCCCCTCTGGGTGGGATCAGACTGCTTGATGGCTGCCTGAGCACATGCCCAAGCCCAAGGCTGGGGAGCACTTAACAGAGAGCTGGGCCTGGGGAGGCACCTCAGGGCACTGCAGAGAATAGGGGTAACAGCCATGAGTGAGGGCGGCCTCCACCCTCTTGGGAACTGGGAGGACAGTCCTGTGGGGAGCGGCCAGTGCAGCCTGCTCTGGCTCAGGACATGGCCACCACCCCCTTGGGGCAGAACCCCAATAGAAATCTCCCACCCCAAAACAACTGCAGCCTCAAAGTCAACTGCTCAGGAGGCAGCACTTCGGAGCACCCTGAGTGCCCCGAGGTCTAGTCAAGATAGGCAGGAGCCACCCACTCTTGGTCAAGAACAGCCTGTTCACAGAAAATGTCTCAACCTGCGGCAACAGCAGCTTCAGTCACAGCCTGATGGAGCGTTGAGCAGTTTGAGCACCACCTGCCATTTCCTTGGGGAGGAAGTTACACCCTCCCCACCTGCTCCTCCAGCTGCCCACACTGTAGCTGGTACCAGCCCCGCCCCATGTGAGGAGGAAACTGAGGCTCAGAGCAGCTACGCCATGGCCCAGCCCATCAGGTCACAGACTCCCCTGGAGAAGCTGGTGGCCTGGCGGAGGCGAAAGGAAGGTTCTGTGAAGGTCGGGGACCACCTCTGACCTTTCTGTGTGTAGGCAAGAACCGGCCAGTGTCCCCACCTTGGTCACAGGGGACAGGGAAGTGGGTGATCTGGTATCGGGACAAGTAAACTGTGTATGTAACTAACACACAGAAGACTCAAAGGCCCCTGAGCTTGTCCTACTTTTGCTCTTGCAGATGCAAACTGGCGTCTTAGGAAGTTCAAATCCAAACAACTCCACCGCCTCTAAGGGCCCCAGCACCAATGAGGCCGCAGCACTCAACAGCCTGGGTTGGGGCAGCCTTCTTCTCTTAGCCAACTCCTTCCTCCACCTCTTCTACCTCAGCTGAGGTGGCACGCCCCAGCCCCAGCCCTGTGCCCCCTGAGACAGCTGCCACCATCCACCACTAGCAAGAGAGGGATCTCTGGGAGGGATGCGTGCCAGAGATGACCGGGCTGTGGAATTGACATGCAGAGCTTGGAGGCAACACCCACAAGAATGTGCGGATGCACACCCCTTCCCCCTGGGCGGCAATAAAATGATCTGTCCTGGCAGTGGGGTCCTATGTGGTCATTGGACAGCTCCAGTCCCCAGGGCCAGGTTTGCAGTGCACCAATGTGCCCACTAAACCCACATCCGGAGAGGGGCCCCGGAGCCCATGGCGTCACCTTGCAAGGACAAGTCCAGCTCCTGCCGCCCTCCCATCCCTCCAGCAGCATTCACTTCCCCATCTCCAGGGCTTGGGAAGGATGGCCCCAGAAGACACCCCATGCCCCCGGATCACAGACATCTCTAGATGCAGAGGCTCAGAGAGGCCCCACTTCAGTCGCTAAGAATCTTGAGAATGACAGATGCAAAGGGATTCCCTCCATTTCTATGGAGCCCCAGCCTTGCAAGCCCCCATCCAACCATAGAGGCCTGAGAAGGATGAAGTTCCGGCCCCCAACCCCCAGCCTGTTTGAAGGGCAAAGGAAGCTCTGGCCACTCCCAACCCTCCTGCATTTGGGATGGTGGTGCTGGCTCTCTCCTGCTCTGCTCTCTTTGAGTCCTTAAGGGATCCAGACTCTCTGCCAGATAGTTGGGGGAAACTGAGAGGCACTCTGGTGGGTAAGCCCTTCAGGACATGCCGTCCCCCACCCCACACCCACTCTGGCCCCATCGCAGCAAACCTGCAAGCTCTCACCCCTGAACTGTCTACACACCTGGAGCACTTCTCTGCTGCCCTCTCACCCCACTGGCCCTTGGCCACCTTCCACATCTCAGTCAAGGGCTCCCTCCCCCAGGCAGCCTGCACTGTACCTAAATAGGTTAGGCTGAGCCTCTTCCCCTTCCACTCTTACCCTGTCACTGACTGTATCACCCTACCTGGCGTGACCCTCCAGTGAACTATGCATTCCCTGAAGGCGGGGCCCTAGGGGCTGGTTCATGTTTGTGTCCCCAAAGCCCAGGACTAGCCGGCTCTCAGAACATCTCCTTAGGGTGACTGCGAGAACTGCCCACCAGTTAGTCTGGTCCCGGGGCGCCCTCTGGTGGCAGAGGGAGGCCTTACACTCAGCCCCAGAAGTAGAACTAGGAGGGAAGAAGGCACCTGACTGACTGTAAGGGGGACCAAATCCTTACCCCACCCCACATAACAAGGTAAGCAGAAAGGAGAATACCTGGAGAGATATTAGAAAATATCTTATATTACAACAAAAAAATTTATAAAAACATTTCACCCCAGGGAAAGCCTCCAGGGCTGGGGGTTTGGAGGAAAGTTCAAAGCACATGGACAGTCCAGATTTGGGACTCCCTGTCCTTGGCCAGCTCCCACAGCACAGCGTGGTCCCGGTCATAGCCACGGCCACCTGAGGAGGAAAGGGAAGAGGGGGGGAATGGTCAGGGCTGGGAACACCACCGCCCCTACCCCCCTCACCACAAATAATCCCACCTTACCCTTCACGTCGAGGACCTGGCCTTCGAACATCTGACTGCAGATGTGGCCCAGTTCACTGATGCTCCAGGTCTGGCGTGGCAGGCGGCTCTCAGCCCACAGGACCACCTTGGAGCCCATGCTGGGGGGCCCAATCACCTGTAGGCTCATGGTGGGGGCCATCTGAGGCCCCAGGAGGTTGTCAGGCATTGTTCCTCTCCATGAGTACCCCATTAAACCAAGACATGCCCAGCTTTGAGTCTGGCTCCTACACACCATGACCTGGGCAAATATCTCAGCCCGTCTGAGTTCTGGGATCCTTGGGGATGGGAACTCCAAGTTCTGGTTATTGTGAGGGCTCAATATGAGGAACCAGAAAAGGGCTGGGAAGAGATCAGCTCTTCTAGGAAGGCTGCCATGTCTGACTCCCAAAGCACAGGCTTTAGCGCCAGATGGGGTGCTGCATACTTGTTGGCTGTCTAAATTGCCGTTCATTTCAAAAGTACAAAAGAATCTGCCCCACAGGGCACTCTGGGGTTTTATGAGGCATTCAGGGGAAGGCCTTGGCGCAGGGCTGGCACACAGCCACCGTTAACTCTCATTCCAAGTGAAAAGCAAGACCCCTCCAAAGGCCTTCAAAGACCCAGACCACCACCACCTTGTGCGTCTCCTGCCACATTCTCCCTCCCTTACTCTGCCAGCCATTCAGGTGGCCACATGCCCGGGGCCTTTGCCCACGCAGATCCCTCTGCCTGGGACTCACCCTTCACCTGCATGGCTGCCAACCTCCAAGGTCACCTTCTCTTGTCAGACTATGGCTATTCCCGCTTCTCATTTCTTGCTTTATTTTCCTCTTTAGCTCCTAAGTTCCTAAAGTATTTCACTCCTTTGCAAGGTTTCTGCCACCCGCCACTGGGATGTGGTTCAGGAGAGCAGGTGTCATTTTAGTCTTCTCATTGTTGCATTCCCAACACCCAGAACAGGATTTGGCACATAGTAGGTGCTCAGGAAATGCTTGTGGAGTGAATAGGATTAGTGATAGGATCCTAGTACTGTCACATGCTCTCAGAGCTGGGAAATCAACCTTCTTGCAGATGGGGCCCAGAGAAGAGCAAAAACCGGCCAGGGGTATTCAGCCTGCTTTCCGCACTTCCCCAGGATCCTGGTATCTGTGTGCACCTCTCTGTCTCTCTGGTCAAGATTGGGGCCGGTCCCTGATGGGGCTGTGATTGCCCGGGCCCTAGAGTCCCTGCCCCAACCCCGAACTGGTACCTGGTTCTTCAGCAGCCCATCTTCATAGTACCAAATGCAGCTACCTCCGGCTTGAGGCTCAGAGACCACCACACGGCCCGCCTTCATGTCCTCCACGTGGTCCGGCACTGCCAGGAATCCCCCCAGGGCTGCATTCCAGAGGCGGAAATAAACCCTGCGCTAGAGGATGGGGAGCAAGAGTCAGGGCTCCTTAGGCAGGGGTTCTCTGACCTGGACCCTCCATACCCTCAACTCTTGGTCTGCCATTCACGTCCTCCTTCCTGTCCACAAGTGTTCCTTGGCCAGCTTCTAAGTCACTCCTTCCTTCACACACATACACCAAGAGCACATACATAGCACACACCCACACCACACAGTGCCGTGTCCACAGAGAAATCCACAGACATATATAAGGGACACACTGGAAGATATACCCAAAGTCCAACTGCTTTCCCAGAAGTCTGTCTGCTGCAGGTAGGAACACATGGAGACACCGAGACACACACGCAGACACGCACCCAGCCAGGCACCAGACACTTGTTTGCTAAAAGGGTGGAAGCACACAGGACTCCACATACATTCAGGTTGACGCGGTCCCCAGTGGGGAGAGCTCTGAAGTCGGGCTGGAAACTGACACATCTGGCTCTGCCACACATCAGCTGGAGGGCTGGGCGGGGGTGATGATGATAATAATAATGGTCATAGTCACAGGCCTCCATGGTGGCCCAGGGGTTGAGTCTCAGCACTATCATGCTGTCCCAGCTGCCGCCTGAGTTCAATCCTGACCCCCAGGGCACAGCAGACCTCTCCTGTCCGCTGGCTGCTCCCCTCAGCAGTACATTTCAGTAGCTCAGCCTGTTCTGTTCCCCACTCTCTCTGGTGAATCCTTTCAACGACCCCTCCCCCACACCTCTGTCCAACACCCGGGTTATTCTATGCATAAACAAATTTAAAGTAATAATAATCACAGCTAGTGTTTGATGAGTACTTGACCACTCAAGCACCATCAAAGAACTGTACACACAGTATTTGTCTTCAACCTCAAAACAACTGCATCATATACATTAGCTCATTTTACAGATGATAAAACTGAGGTCGGTGGAGATAGCCCTTGCCCATGATTGCAGAGCAAATCCTGTCTACTTCTGGGCTTTTATTTCCCCATCTGTCAAATGTGAGGCTTCAAAAACTCTCCAAGATTCCCCTAGCAGTAACAGTCGGGACCCCCACAAACAGCCTCATGCAAAGAACCCTGCTCCCCCGCCCCGTATCACAGATACAGCAAGCGTAGTCATAAACACACTCAGAGCTGTGTACATACACGTCCACGAGACAGCTCCAGAACACAGACACGCGGGCACTCGATGTCACGGGCACAGAAAGCCTCCCCCGCGCCCGCTGGCAGCCCCCGCCACGCGCCTGCGCACAAATGTGCACGTGCAGAAACTGTCCCGAGCGGGACTACCAGCAGGGTGCTGACCCACGAGGGACGTTCTCAATCCTGTGAACACACACTTACTTTTTAAAAATTGAACGGTAGTAAAAATAAACTTTAAAAAAAAAAATAATTATGAACTAAAAAAAAAAAATTGAACGGTAATGTTTTTATTAAAATATTAAAGGAGGCCCTCCCTGGTGGCGCAGCGGGTTAAAGCACAGCATTGAGAAGTTAAAGTCACTTCTGCTCATGAGTTCGATCCCAGCCTGCCCAGGAGGTGACCACATGGCACGGCAGACCTCTCCTGACCCGCCCTCTGCTCCCCTCAGCAGTGTACTTCGTCGATCTGCCTGTTCTGCTCCCCACTCTGTCTCTAGTGAAGCCTCTCACCGCCCCTGAGCCTCTGGCCTGTACCCCAGTTCTGTTTGCACAAATAAATAAATCTTTAAAAAAAAAATTAAGGGAAAACGATGCATAAAGAACACACATGATTTCTGGGATAAGGAGGAAGTAAAATTTTAAAAAGGAAGGTGACAAAGACTCCATGAGGAAAATATTAAGTAGAGGAATAACGACGTGGCAAAAAACGATAACAAAAGTGCATAAATGCTGAGTTTGGGAAACACAGACAGACTCCCAGGCTACATGTCACCTACCTGCTTGATGGGGTAGAGGGACCCCACGCGCTGGGTCCCGCTGTAGGTCAGCCAGTTGGTGATCTCGCAGCTGCCCACCAGCCACTGGCGCCCCCGGAAGTCACTGTGCTCACACAGCACCCAGCTGGGCCCAGCAGGCCCAGGGACACAGGAGGACAGACAGGCAGGGGGAGGAAGAGGAGGTGTGGATGTCAGCAAATTCTCCACCTTCTCTTCCCTCCGCCAGGGTCAGAGTCCCCAGCCGGGAGGGGGAGGCTGGGAAATAAATTTGGGGCTTATGGGGCCCCAGCTGGGTCCAAGCCCTGGAAGCCCAGAGCCCCTCTCAGTGTGCATCTGCCCTCCCCCTTGGGGCAGGATATAAGAGGGCGGAGGCCATGGGCCTTAGCTCACTCACTAGCAGCCCGCATGCCTGGGCGCCCCCACCACATACCCACCTGCCGCCCTTGATGCGCACAGACAGCACATGGTCATTGAAGCCTTCTGCTTGCAGACTCCGGGCCTCGCCGTGGAGCTCAATCTCCTTCCCCTCGAAGCACTCCAGACCATACAGGAAAATGGAGGGCTCTGAAAAGTGCTGGGGGTTCGGATACAGCAGGAAGGGGTGACGTTACTCAGACATCCAGGTGGACACCCTGATTCCCAAGCCATCCCTCCTGCCCTGCCACAGGGCCTCTGACTCTGGATAATGCCAGCTAGGTGGCCCCCAGATCTTCAGTCACAACCTGTGCTGGGCCCCCCACTCGCCCCTTAAAGTTCCTTCCTAGTAAACAGCCCTGCTAAGAATGGTGATCATAATACTGTTAACTATAGCAGTTCTCATTAATTCAGGGCTTACTACAAGCCAGATTCTGTGCTGAGCCCTCGACCTGATCTCGTAACTTCTCAACAACCCTGTAAGGTAGCTGCTATTCTAAACCCTGCTGAACAGACAGGAAACTGAGGCTGGAGAAGACCCATGTGCTCGAGGCCCCAGAGCTGGTGCAGAACTAGGAACTAGCTCTGCTGTAGTTTGGACTCGGGAGCTGCCTCAGGGAAAACCTGGCTCTGCCTGTACCAGCTCCTGGGTGCCTCAGTTTCTATCTCTGGGAAAAAGAGATGACAGTAGTTATACTGTCCTCTCAGTGACCTGGATCAACCTTTGTCCAAAAATAACTTATGCAAAAAGGTGTTTTTTTTTTTTTTTTTTAAGATTTATTTATTTATTCGTTGAGCCCTTGAGCAGCCTGTCACACGGCCTGAAGCACCCCCCAGCTACTGTGCTTACGTACCCCTGCCACTGGCCCGGCCAGCCAGTCACCACATCCCACCAGCCCTGGTTCCTCCACGAGGCTGTGTCACCTCCCCGCTGCATCACAGCCCCAGTCATCACGCCTGCTGTGGGGGCTGTGGCTGCGGCCACACTGCTGGGCCCTGCCCTCCACTCCCGAACCTCCACCTGGGCAACCCGGCCAGTCCCCAGCTGACCCGGAGAGCCAGTCCCTCCTGTCCCTGCACCACTTCTGCATCTAGACACACCATGTCACACTGTACCCTTCCTGTTCGCGTGACCCAGGGATCCCTGAAGGTGTCTGGTTTCTGTCAGTGTCTGCAGGTCCTCTCTCAGCAGGTACTCGATACAGCTGAAGGGGCTGAACTGGCTTTGAAGCCTTTGAGGGGATGGGGGTGGCCCTAGGGAATTCGACCCCAGCAGCCCCTTTTCAACGACAAGAGGCTCTGTATCCGGGACATCCCCAGCAGCACCGCCCAGAGGTTCAGAGATTGAATGGAACCGGACGGGGGCACTTACCAGGGGCACCTTCCGGAGAGAGCCCAGGACTGTGGAGGTCAGACAGCCCATGGCCGTGAGAGTGGGGAACTCGCCCTCAGAGAGAATGTGCTGGTTACCCTCAAAATTCTGCTCATCAAACAGGATCCAACTAGGAAGGGGAAGAGTAAGGGGAGGTGAGTGGGTGTCTCAGCCTGTCTTGTCCTTGGCTTTCTTAGGTCCCCTGAGGTACCAGAAGAGTAGAACCAGACTTGATGTGATCCCCCAGTCAGGGGTCAAGGAGGAACAGGCTCTGCAGCAGCAGAGACCAAGGGCAGACTTAAGACAGGACTAAACGAGTTGTGCGTATGGAGAAAAATCTGGCAACACAAGAAAATCTTCATGCACAATCATTCAGCAATCCCATTTTTTGGAATCTATCTCAAGAACATCCTTCAGAAACATGAAATGACACATACAGCTCAAACATCCCTCAATAAGTGATTGGTTGACTAAGAATCTGGGGTATAATATAGCAGTAAGTAGGAATGAGAAAGAGAGTTAAAGGGATATAAAAAGACCTCCAAATTAGTTAGTGAAAAAAATGAGGCATATAACAGTGCTCGTAGTATGCTTCCTTTTTAAAAATTGATATATAATTTGTACATGATAAAATTTACTATTTTAAAGGTTACATACAGTTTAATGGACCTGTAGCACATTCACCAGGTTATAATATGCTTTTTGTGTAAGGAAATGGGGGGATGAGGGAAATAAAAGACCTTTGATTTCCAAAGTTATATGTCATTTTAGATATGAGTATATTTCTTCAAAAATCAATGGTGGACATCTGTTCCCCATTGTGTCTCTGGTGAGTCTTCTCACCTCCTACACCCCTGGCCTATACCCCAGTTCTTCTATGCATAAATAAATATATATTTTTAAACATTGCCTTTTCTTTACTGACTTGGATTCTATTGTGTGTGTGTGTGTGTGTGTGTGTGTGTGTGTGTGTGTGTGTATAGAAGACCAGCGTGTGGTGCAGGCCAGTGGTACAGGGTGTAAGAAGATTCATCAGAGACCAAGTGGGGAGCAGAACAAGTGAATCCACTGAAATACACTGCTGAGGGGAGAGTGGGCAGGTCAGGAGAGTCTGCTGTGCACTGAAGAAATAAATCTTTTTTAAAAAAAAGAGGGGGCGCTCCCTGGTGGCACAGTGGGTTAAAGCACAGCACTAAGAAGCTAAAGCCACTTCAGCATGAGTTCGATTCCCACCTGCCCCGGAGGTGACCACATGGCGCGGCAGACCTCTCCTGACCCGCCCGCTGCTCCCCTCAGCAGTGTACCTCATCGGTCTGCCTCTTCTGCTCCCCACTCTGTCTCTGGTGAAGCCTCTCGCTGCCCCTAAGCCTCTGGCCTATACCCAGTTCTGTATGCACAAATAAATAAATCTTTAAAAAAAAAAAAAAAGAAAAGAAAAGCGGGCCCTCCCTGGTAGCACAGTGGGTTAAAGCACAGCACTAAACATCTAAAGCCACTTCAGCATGAGTTCAATCTGTGCCCCAGAAGTAACCTACATGGCGCGGCAGACCTCTCATGACCCGCCCGCTGCTCCCCTCAGCAGTGCACGTCATCTGTCTGCCTGTTCTGCTTCCCACTGTCTCTGGTGAATCTTCTCACTGCCTCTGAACTTCTGGCCTGTACCCCAGTTCTGTGTACATAAATGAATAAATCTTTAAAAAGAAAAGAAATGGTGGACAAATAAAATGTTAAAAAAGTGAGTAATTATGGGGGAGGGAGGTAAGCTATTTGTTTTAAGTCTTTTTTTAAAGATTTATTTATATATACGTACAGGAACTGGGGTACAGGCCATAGATACAAGAGGTAGAGGATTCACCAGAGACAGAGTGGGGAACAGAACAGGCAGATCTACTGACATATACTGCTGAGGGGAGCAGCAGGCAAGACAGGAAAGGTCTGCTGCCCCATGCCATGTGGGTCGCCTCCCTGGCCGGGGATCAAACTTGTGCTGCAGTGGCTGTGGTAGCTTTATAGTGTTGTGCTTTAACCCCTTGTGCCACCAGGCCATTGTTTTAAGTCTTGACTTTGGAGTGACTATGGAACAAATGCTTGTGTCACCTCAAAATTCCTAACCACAATGGCCTTGGGGAGGTAGTAGGTATAGATGAGGTCATGAGGGGGTGCCCCCAAGGCAGGATTAGTGTCCTAATAAGAAGAGGAAGAGACAGGAGTTCTTGTTAGCCAGGAAGAGAGCCTTCACCAGTGAGCAGAATTGGCCAGCACATTGGACCTCCCTGGCCAGGGAGCTGACCCACATGGTGCAGCAGACCTCTCCTGTCTCACCCATTGATATACACGGCCCCTTGGCTGTGTATATCAGTAGATCCACCTGTTCTACTCCCTGCTCTGTCTCTAATAAATCTTCTCATGTCCTTCTCTCACCTCTGGCCTATACCCCAGTTCTTTGTATGCATTAAAAAAAAAAAAAGAAAAGAATTGGCCTTGGACTTCCCAGCCTTCAAAAGCATGAGAAAATAAACTCCTGTTGTTTAAGTCATTTAATCTCTGGTGTTTTTTTATGTAACCCAAGGTGACTAACACTGCAAACATTTTATGTAATTAGAAAGTTAGAATTGAGTAAAAATGAAAAAGTTATTCCTAAAAATTAAAACAAATAAACCTAACTGACCTGTGGCATAAGTATACAGAAAAAAAGTACTATTTCAAATGTCTTTAAAACATACCTAATGGGATATAGATGACTGTTCTGAGGGCAAAAAGAATCACACAGAAGTCCCAACAGCATTCGGTCTTTCTCTACTGCTTATAGTAACATTAGTATTATAATTCTGAAATAACTAGCATGAAGGTTTTAGTTTTGGTCTCTACATAAGTAGCATTTCCTGGGGTTGCTTAGGAAATGACGACTCTAGGTTTGAGGGAAAATGTACAAAATGATAATAGAGCATTTATTATATCAGAAAAATCAAGGAAGTTATTTTAAAATAATTGGGGTTACATCAAAAAGACCCAGGAGCCCATTTGAAGGGTCCCATTTGCCAAAGATGAAACAATATCAGCACAAAAGAATAATGACTCTAATACAGCTCTAGTGGGCTAACCTCATTTTGAAGCCCTGGGACCGGGGCGGGGGGGAGGGGGGAGTGGGAATCCTAAAGAATTCAAATCCCAGGGTCAGTATTAGAGCATTTCAACGACAAAAAAATCCATGAGTTCATAACTATAGTTAAAAAAGTCTTCACTGATCAGCTTTGGAGGGTTCTAAGGACCAACTGAGAAACTATTCTGAAATCTGAGAAAGAGAGAAAGGTGCAAACATTGATCCTTAGTAAAGAATCAAATTATTTTTTCTATAGAAGCTATTTAACAGAACCAAAAGGTCTATCTTCCATTTTCTGAAAGCTCTATCTTTCATTTTTCCTTCATAGAAATATTTCAGCTAATATATATAGCAGGAATAACAATAATTAGAAGATGATCATTTGTAACCTATAAAAAAATAATGTTCTAGGCAATTATCATCAATGGGTGCCTGAACACCATTAGGTGAAAGGCAAATGGGACTCTTACAATGGAGGACTCTTAACATCATCACATGAGGGACAACCAGACACACACATCGTGGCGTGATTCGCTGGGAAATGCTTGCACCACCTCTACAAAGCTTTCAAAACTTTGTGTCTAGAGCTCTCAGTTTGCAGGAAATGCTGGGGACAGAGGAACAAGTTAAAAAGACAGCAGCAGGAAGGAGCCAGCCCCATGTAGAAGATATAAAACTTAATGGGACAAATTATTTTCTTCAAGCAAATAAATGGTGTGAAACAAAGAGAAAGGGAGGGAGACAGTTATCAGTAACCAATTTGACCAAATAAAACGCATGGGTGTGTTTGGATCTTGAGGAAAACAACTTCACAAGCTTTAGTTGCAGCAGAAATCTGAACATGAACTGGTAATTAGGTAATATTAATAAATGAATTTTATTAGCTGTGATAATACCTGTACATACTTGAGGAGAAACAAGTCCTTTCTTACTAGAGATAGGTATCAAAATATTTAAATGTGATATTTCATGTTGGGTTGGGGATTTTAAATACTACACTAAAGGGGAAAAAAAAAGTAGAGGAATAAGTGAAACAAGATTGGGGTGCTTTATACTATGCAACCTACAAGCCTTACTTTTTCCATTAAAAATTTATCTTGCTTTCTTTTAAGACTTAATGGCTAGGGACAGAAATAACTAATCTCAAGGAGGCAGGAGGAAGGAAATCATTGGAAAGCTAGACCCTGGTCCTGCAGCCCGGATTTCCAAACTGAGTTAAGCCCTTGGAGCACGCTCCCCTCCCCAGCTCCGTGCCCCCGCGAGCTCACCTGCCACCGTGAACGCGGCAGGACTGGGGTTGGAAGGAGAGAGGCAGAGAGGTCTGGTCATCCTCGAAGGAGATGTGCTCACCCAAGAAGTCGGGGCCATTGAAAAGCTGAATCTGAGGAGCGAAGGGAAGAGAGGAGAGTGAAGGAGGGCCATGGAGTAGGTCTGGAGAACCCGGAGACTGGCGGTAGGTTTGGACCGAGGGAAGAGGAGACACAGGCCATCACCAGCTCCTTACCTTTGAAACAAAGCGCAGATTGTGCTCCCCGACCTGAAGAGAGGAACCAACGTTTTCAGACTTCAAGAGACACCTCAGGGCTTCAGGTTTCAATTACTGAGCCTGGGCGCTGGCCCCGCCCCCGGGGCTGGCCCCGCCCCGCGGAGGCCCCGCCCCGCAGCTGGCACGCACGCACCTGCAGGACCGGCTGCAGCGAGGCGAGGGCGCTGTTGCCCGCGCCCCAGTCGTCGCAGTTGCGGTACACCCCCTTCTCCAGTACGTACTGCTCCCCGCAGAAGCCCACCTCTTGATAGGCCACCCACCTGCAGGAAGGGCAGGGCGCGGGTCAGTAGGAGTAGCCCTCAGTTCCTCGGGCACCATCCCCACCCGCCTACCCAGTTCCCCAGGTGGGGGGAGGGGGCTCACTCACACGCCGCTGAGCACGTGGATGGCCTGTGTGTGGGGGCCGTAGCGCGCCAGCTCCACGTCCGGTACGGCCTCGCTCACCTCCACGTGGTGCCCCTCGAAGTCCATGGCCTCAAATAGCACCACAGCCGGGTCCCCAAAGTCCTGGGTCCCAGGGACAGTCAGGTCTTTATCACCCACTGAAGGAAACCCCCGGGGGTGCCCAGACCCCTGGGACACTGCAAATCTGAGGGTTTGGGGGTGAGGCCCTCGGTGTGGCTTGGGAAAGAGCAGCTGGAGGGAGAGCGACTAGACCTCGGGAAACACTCCAGGTGCTCTGAGGAATGGGCGGTGGGGGTCAGGAGCCGGGAGGCGGGGGTCAGGAGCCTTCCCCCAACGCATCCTACCAGCGGCAAGTCTGGCTGTGGCCAGGGGCAGAGGGGTGTCCCACTTGTCCTTGCTTACCGTCCGGATGACCCTTAGGGAAGTCAGCACCTCGTCATAGCCTCCCCAGTGTGACCAGTCAGCGTATTCCCCTTCTTCCAGCAGATACTGGTGTCCTCGGAAGCCCTCCTTCTCGTAGCCCACCCAGCTGGGGAAATGGGGAGCTGGGTAAGACAGCTGCCCTCATGCCAGGCAGCCCAGCTCACCCCTGAGGTCAGAGGCCAGTGGGGCCGATGAGGTAGGAGGAAAGGCCTGGAGTCCTCACCAGCCTCCCAGAACTCGAAGGGACCCCACTGAGTCCAGGTGGGGGCTCTGGCTGTCCTCTGGCTGCTGAAGGTTGTAGATGTCTCTGCTCACTTCCCAGCTGCGGCCCTGAAAGCCTGGAGACTCATATACCACGGCCTGGAAGAAGCGGGGTGGGTATCAGACTGGAGGGAGTGATCTGGACCCAAACATTCCCAGATAGCCCAGGCAGGCTCTGCTTAGCGTCAGCCCAAACTTAGCCCTCTCTCACCCTCACTGGGCCCCTAGCCCTCACCTCACTTCTGTCTCTTCACTCACCCCAGACCCACTGAGCCCATAGAGTCCTACCTTCCCACACTCAGCTTCTGGACCCAGAGCACGCCTCTCCTGTCTCCTAGACCAGGCCACAGTAGCCCCCCAGCCCCCTACCACCCAACGGCCTTCCTTAGCCCTGAAACCGAGACTTACCTTGGGCTCCCCTGGCTTCTCCACACTTGGGCAACCCTGAAGAAGAGATAAAGCTGAGACCCCAACCTGGGGCATTAGGGGGAAGATGGTGGATCCCATGTCTTCCTTCTCCCCCACCCCTTAGTCTAATTCCCTTTGTCCATTATCCCACTTCCCGTAGGAACTCCCAGGCCCTGCCTCTCCCCCAAGGAAGGGATAAAACTGCAGGACCACCTGCTTCTTACCAGTTTCATGGGCTTCAGTGAGCCCATGCTGGGGTCTGGAATACCCCAGACCTCTGAGGAGGGGTATTCTCCAGGCTCCAGGATGCAGGGGGTGCCTTCAAAGAAGGGCTTGGGGTACAGCAGCCACCTGGGGGATGGCAGAGAAGCAGTTGTACCCAAGATGCCTAGGGACACAGATTGGTGGATGAAAGGGAATATTTTGAGGGGAAAAGGGAGTTTGGGGCAAGAGACCCCATCAAGGGGACTCAAACATTTAAAGCGCCATGATCTGCAGTGGCCACTCCCCTCCTCTGGCCTTCACTCCTCTCGCCTCTAATTCACACAGCAGCTGGAGAGTTCTTTCAAGCGCATGTACCTGCTCACAGACCCCTGCACTCAACAGCTCCCCTAGCCTCACGCTACAGCCCAACTGCACAAAGAGGAGGTTCTGCCCTCCTCCTGGGCCTCACAGCCCCCCATTTATAACCTCATTGCCCAGACTGAACTTCTGAAGCTTAGCTCTCCCACCTCTGTGCCTTTGCAGATGCGGTTTCCTGTTCAATTTATGGAATATGTGGGGATATCTACCCCATGCCAGGCACTGCTGTAGGCATCAGGGATACAGCAGTAAGCACAACATACAAAATCCTTATCCTCAAGAAGCTTAGATTCTTCTAGGGCCAACTCATCTCAGTGGAGACATCTCCTCCTCCAGGAAGGCTGCTCTGACCTCCCACTAGTGTGATGCATCCCTGTACCCCCACAAACCTGTGCTCTCTCATCCCAAAACTCTGCATTGCTCCTGTTTATTTGCTTCTCCCTACAGTCAACTAGACACTTAAGGGCAAGGATTATATGCTGTCACCTCTGTGTCCCCAAACCCAGCACAGTCAGTGTTCAGTGAAAGGCTTCCCTGCCCAGACTCACAGTCCTGCAGAGACAGTGGCAGACGCCACCTGCAGGGCCCCCTCCAGGCACTGGGGATCCTCCAAGGCTTCAGTGAGCTTCACTTGCTCCCCCTTGAGGCCCTCCTCAGAGTACAGGGTGATCTGTGGGGTAGCATAGTCCTGCAGAAGAAAGGAACAGGACAGTGAAACGTCAGTGCCTCCAAGACTGTAACCACTAGCACTTGTCCCCAAGTCTGTCCAGCCAAGGCTCTAGCGGGCTTCTGGAAACCTCTGTGGCTGTATCCCCAGAAGCCAGGAGGCTAGCTGGGGTGTTTTCTCTAGACCAGCCTGAAACAAAAGTCCTTCCCTGTCCCACACTAGACCTTTGAGGCCTGAAACCAAAGTTCCCAGCCAAAGGTGCTTGCCAAGCAACAGTGCCCTTTGCCTGGTCTCTGGCAGGCCTGACTCCCAGGCGGTGGAGGGTCGGGCAGGAGAGACAGTCTCCTCTCTGTGCAGGTGCTGCCCTGTCCAGACCGACCTGCACGGCCCCTCACCCCACGAAGCCACACCCTCGGCAGGCTGGTCCTTTCTCACAGGACCGAGTTGCTCACCCCTGCGCCAGTGTCTATGAAGCATGTACTGAACCAAGGCTGTGCTCAGGGCATGCCCGGCCCCGTCTCACTGAGCGCTCCCAATGGGAGTTATTACCTCATTCGCAGAGGAGCGTGGGCTCAGCCAAGCGCCCGCCTGCAGGCACACAGTGGCAGGCAGGGCCGAGGACTGAGCGGCAGGCTAGAGCAGCAGGCCGTTCACTGCTCTGCCCCGCGCCTCCCCCAGGCCCGGGCCCAGACGCAAGCCTGATCGGGACCCAATCAATGGGGGTGAATCAGATGAATCCAGGGCCGCCTGACTTCAAAGCCCTTGTTTTTCTTTCCTACCTCATTACCTCCCACACGAAGATAAATTTATTGGGAGAAGCTCACAATAAATTGTCCACAAACATCTGAGTGTTTCCCTGGAGAGGCTTTGAAAACTCTGGTCCCCTCTGCCCGGTGGGCCGCTGCCCTAGTTAAGACTCATCAACCCTTGTCCTTTCTTACCAGGAAGGTTGCAACAGCTCTGAAGTTGTTCAGCCTTTCACTGCCGAAAACAACAACTCAAAATGCCTAACAGATCCTGCCCTCAGTGCTACTGCTTTCTCTCCTGGGTCTCTGGTGGCTAGGCGGTTTTGTCACCTTGATTTCAGTCATTTGTAAATCGGTGTCATGAGCAATATTGTTTGGCTCCTACTTTACAGATCTGACACTACAATATCACCTTTACATAGAAGGGTGATATGTTAGACCATTACATAATAGGTTTGTGTATTACTGATAATAAAAATAATAAGCAATATTAACATATACAGTATACGTATGTATATATATTAGCCTTTTCAAGCTACGCCTCCTCCTTCAAAATTCAGAGGTGCTCTCAGCTGGAAACCACAGCTCTCGCAGGTCTGTCTCCAGGATCCCTATCTAGTCTTTTCTCTTGGCAGCCAGATGTTCATAAATCCTTAATCTGGCTATGTGCCCTTCCCACTTTAAACCCAACCCTTACCCCAGCTTGAGCACGAGTCCTATAGGGCAGAGAGCAGGTCTCCCTTATCTACCCATTGCCTGGCACAATGCCTGGCACAGCCTATATTAAAAAGTACCCATGAGCAAAGGGATGAAGAGATACCCTTGGTCCCTTGGGTCTGACTGTGGGCCTGAGAACCTGGGCCCCTGGGGCGGGGGATACGTGCCCACTTCCACCCATTTCTTTAGTGCTACCAGAATCTTCTCCAGCACCAGCTCACTCTCCCAAGATGTTTTCCCAAAGTGGGGCTTGGCCTCTGCCTGGCCCCTGCCTCCCCAAGCCAAGCTGAGTACCCACCAGGACCCTTTCTGCCCCCAGTTGGCTCAGGGGTCAGGAACCCAGAAGACAGTCCATATGAGTTCATCGGGGAGCTCGGTCCACCGGTCTGTCCTCCCCAGCCCCATGATCGCTCTCTCAGAGATCCCAACTCCAGGTATAGAGGCCGTCTCTCTGCTCGGGGCCCGGCCCTGGCCCGGCCAGGCTATATCTGGCTCCCATCCCCAGCCACTCACCCGGACAACCCTCCTCAGGGACCCGATGCCTTGGGTGCTCCACGCTGACCCACTGGCTCCGAGTTCTGCATCTCCTTCAGGCAAGACCAGCTTCTGACCTTGGAACTCTGGGTCTTTATAGAGTATCCAGCTGTGGGCACAGAGACCCACGGTCACTAGGCAAGCAGAGTGTGCAGCATAAGGCGGACTCTGGCTTGTGAGGGGGATTCTGCCAGGCTGACCAGGCCACTTCCCAGTGCCCACCCTTCCCTGGGTTCAAAAGCAGGACATGGCACACTCACCAGCCGCGAATGACCTTTACAGAAGCTACACGGGCCCAGGCGGAGGCATCAGTAACGTCTTCCCAGACCTCCCTGCTGCTGCCTCGGCAACCGGGCTCTGAGAAGAGGACCATCTGGACAAGGCACAGGGAGGCCCTCAGCCCTGATGCCGCACCCCCATCCACCCTCCCTGCCGTCCCATTCTCTTGCCCCACCCTCCTACCTTGCCAGGCCTGGTGTTCAGCTTGGTCTGGGTCTTCAATGCTGGGCTCTGGAGTAGAGGGTGTGGATAAGAAATCTAGAGATGGTCTTCTTACTGCCTCCCCACACCTGCCATAGCAAGGATCTCAACCTCCTATGGGCTTCCACCCCAGAGCTGGCCCACAGAGGACGCGGTACTTGTTCCCAGTCCACAGGGGCCTCAGCGCCCTGGCCCAGAAGCTGGGTGTGTTGTCCCTCTTCCCCAGCCTCCCCAGTTCACAGCCACCAAGCCCTGGAGACTCCATCGTGCAAATCTGCTGTCTGGGTAGAAGACAGGCCTGGAGAGGTGCCCTGGCACAAGTCACACTGCACAAGGCCTCGGCCCAAGCCCCTGGCCTGAGGTTCTCCTTCCAGTACCATGGTCCTCACACCCAAGAGGCAGGCACCCTCCCTTGCTCCCCCAAGGCCTCACTCACCCACCCCTCCAGGGGCTGGGGACATTCAGTCTCCTCCGCTGGTGGCCTGTCGTTGCAGAGCAGAGTCAGCTGTCCTGGTGCCTTCTTGAGCCCCGGTGGCTTGTGGGGTGGCAGAGCGGAGAGTTTTATGCCCAGGGGCTCCAAGGCAGATGTCTCCTTGCTGGTAGACATCAGACTGCTAAAGAGAAGGCTGCCTCCAAGGCGGGACATGGGCCTGCTGCTGGCTTGCCAATCTGGCCCCAGCTCTGGGTGGGGGCCTTTGGCGCCTGCTACATGCTTCTTCATCATTTCCAGGGGGGAGCAAAAGACCTGGGGGGACCTGGCAGAGCGGGACTCCCAGGGGAGGCTGGGCTCAGCTTTCTCCTGCTTGTGCTGCAGCTTCTCCTCACTGCTTAGATAGGGGTTCTCTATTTCTTCCTCCTTCTCTTCCACTTCCTCCTCCTCCTTCTCTTCCAGTGCTGGCACGTCCAGTTGAGGACCGGGTCCCAACACCCACGGCACAGACTGATCCTCCTCAATGGCGGGCAGCGTGGCATACATGGCTAGGTAGGAGGAGCGTGGAGCCCGTGGCAGTCGATGAGTGCGAAGGATCTCTGGGGTGTCCATGTTCCGAAGGGTATCCAGGAACATCTCCAAGTCACTGGTCAGAGCCACCTCCTCCTCCTCCATTGATGGCTCTGAAAGAGTCTTGCCCTCAGTGGAGTCAGCGACAAGCTGGGACCTCAGGTTGGTCTCTGTTCTCACTGACACGGGGGCAGAGGCATCCCCTGGGCTGGGAGGCATCTTGTCCACAGAGGGGGGAACAAGGAGAACAGCAGGACCCTGGACATCCTCTTTTTGAGTGGGAGATGAGGTGGGGCTCCCTTCAGAGCCCCGATCAACCTTATCCTGTTTGGGAGATGGGATAACAGAATCAGGCAGATCTTGAACAGTCTCTTCCTCAGTCAGGGAAGTGGCCAGGCGCCCTTCAAAATCCTGGATAACCTCTTCGGGAGAGCTAGGGCTGCCCTCTGGGCATTGGACGACCTTGGTCGGCTTGGGGGATGAGGCAGTAGGAGCATCAGGCCTGGTATCCAAGAAATTCTCCAGGGCAGGGGTCAGGACCACCGCGTCCTTCTCCCTCAGTGACCCAGGGGGCATCTTGTCATCAGTGGAGTCGGGGACAAGTTGGGGCCCTAGGCTGCTCTCTGCACCCATCAGCAAAGTGGCAGAGGAGCCTTCTGGGCTGGGGGATACCTTGTCCATTAAGGAGGCAGGGGCAGGGAGAACAGCAGGATCCTGGACAACCTCTTTCCGGGAGGGGGTTAGGTCAGTAGGGCCCTGTACTATCTCTTTCTGGTTAGAGAAGACAGAGACATTTTCAGAGTCCTGAAAAACCTTATTCTGTGGGGAAGATGGATCAGAGAGACCCCTTACGCTGGAGACAGCCTTCTTTCTTACAGAGGATGGAGCAAGAGGTTGTTCAGGAACTGTAACAACCTCGATCTTCACCCTGGGCAGGATGGTGGTAGCAGGGGGCTCTGTGAGCCCTTCCCTTTTAATAGAGGGTAGGGTCTGGAGTCCCCTGGGTTCAACAGTCAACAGGGTCCTGGGATGAGTGGGCACCACAGGCTGCTCTGGGAGGGGAACCGGTTCCAGGGAAGAGTGACGGCTTTTAAGTCTGGGTGAGGAGGGTATGGGTGTGTGGCCCTGGGAGGAATAGTGAGGGAGCAGCTTGGAGCAGGACCCTCCCTGCACCCTTGGGGTCTCATGGGCCCTGGCATCCAGGGCTCTGCCCTGGCCTTGATCTGGGTGGGCTGTAAGGAGATCCTGGTCCTGAGGCAGGTGGCCACCCTCCAGGATCCCCACAGGGGCCAGGGCAGATCTGTCTTTTGGCTCTGCTGTCCCTGTCTCATCCAGCTGCCCCAGGATGGCTCCTGCTGTGCTGCTCAGACCCGGGCTCCTTGGCACGACAGCCGTGGGCCGGGGAAGCCGGCTGGCAGGGGAGCCACGCTCAGCAGGCACCAGGCTACTTAGCAGCTCTATGGCCTGACTGTGGCTGGGCGAGCCCTCCGCCCGGGGGCTCACGACCACTGTCCGCACCGTGCGGACAGTGTTGCGACCCCTTGGCAGGGCCTCTCCTGGTGTGGACCCCACAGTCACAGAGCTGCTCACCCGCCGGTCCACCTGCCCCCCCACCACTGTGGTGGTCCGCACAGTGCGTGTCACTTGCCGCACCTCATGGCGGCTCCCACTGAGGAGACTCACACCTGGGTGGGGGCTGGGCTCACGGGGCCCATGCAGGGGCACCAGAAGCTCAGTCTTGGCCATGGCTCCCAGGCTCGGGGCCTGAGTCCTGGGGTCCGGGGAGCTGCCGTCACTCTGACCCATGGCCTCCTTGGGCTTCCCCACTGGCCTTTTCTCCTTAGTGGGCGGTGAGTACTTCCTGGAGTAGACGGGTGTATGACTCTCAAAGCTCCTGGAGCCAGGCCCATCCTGGGGGCCCTGGTTCTTCACAGTTTCTTCTTCCCATACATCGAAGCCATTGATTTCCTCTCGACGGTAGCTGTACAGGTCCTCCCGGTCGGCTTCCATCCGGGCCGCTGACACCAGGGACACCTTATGAAACTGATGTCTGGTCTCTTCCTGAGCAGGGGGCCGCTGTCGCCACATTAATGTGGCGCTCACCACTCGGGCCTCAGCCCGAGCCAGGGGCCCACCTGCCTCCTCCATGTCGGGCCCCGGCGAGCTGTCCTGAGGTGTCCTTGGCTCGCTGTGTTCCAGCTCCCTGCAGAAGTATCAGGAAGAAGAGAACAAAGTGGGGGGGAGGTCTGAGGGTAGCTCTCCACAATCAGTGGCTGCCCCTGCCACGGCCAGAGGGCAGACCTCAGATAAGTCACTCGCTCTTGTAGATGTCTGCTTCCTGTAAAATGGGCCTGACACTGCTCTCCCACCCTCTCCTCACTTTCAAGTGGCCCATGGCAGTATCCTTCAGGCAGTGAAGCTGAGGCCCGAGCCTGGAAGAAGAGGAAAGGAGAGCGCAGGAAGGCTGAGGGCTCTGATCTCGGCCTGTGGACGGGACTGCCCAAGGAGCCCTGGATCTAGTCCCCAGGAACAGAAAACCAGCACCCTCTGACACTGGCCCACAGGAGGGAAGGGAAGGAAAGGCGGGCCTCGGCCTCAAGCAGAGCGGGGCGCCCTCTGGCCCTGCCACTCACTCACTAGCCAGCCATTCACGGGCAGGCCACTTCTTCCCTTGAAGCTCAGGGCCCCCAGCCATGAAACGGGGCTAACAGGAGTATGTGCTTCCGAGGATTACTGTCAGGGTCCAATAAGAGAGAAAATGAAAATTTGCTTTAAAAATTCAAATGCTGGCTCAGAATTCCCACAGGGCCTTCAAGAACTGTGCCTGTCCCTGGCTGCTGGCTCATGTGTGCTAACGTGAGCAAGCAATGCTTCTGTTGAGCATACGTGTACCCACCAGTGGGCCTCAAAGGAGCCCCCTGTCAGGACACAGTGCAATGGACCTGAGCACACCTCCTCTTCCCCACTGTACAGATGAAGAAACTGAGGGCTGAGAGCAATGACTGACCCAGGGTGACTGAATTGCTAAGCGGCCACACTGCAGGTTGAATTCGCATCTGAACCCCTGTCCAGGTGTCTTCTCACCTGCTCCCTCAGCCAAGCCTCTGGACACATCCTTCTATTCTGTGATCGCTCCAGCACCCAACTTCACCCCTCGGAGGGGAAGGCATCTGATTGCTTTCTGAGCCTCCTGTGATCTCTCTGGGCCACCCTACCTCCTCTACCAAATGGGGACTAATAATACAGCTGCTTAGGGAGACCTCTAGGCTGCCAGAAACTCCCCAGTGACTTTCTGTTTTAATAGTAATAATAAAACAATGACAACAGCAGCTGGCAGCAGCCATATGCACTGAAGGCTTAGTCTGTGCCAAACACCTTTCCATCCATCATGCTGCTGAATCAGCAAAAGAAACCCATCCATTTGATACCTCATAAAGAATAAAGTATTCATTACTAACCTTCCCATTTTGCAGATGAGGGAAGAAAAAAAGGCTCAGAGAGGTTAAGAAACTTGTCCAGAGTCACACAGTAACAGTAGATACTTATACCCCAGCCCCCAGCTTAACCACCATACCAAACTCCCTAATGTATTCATCCGGAGTTATTTTTAAAGGTGGCCCCAGCAGTGGGGCCATCCAGAGATCCAGCCTCCACTCTGACTTCCAGGCTGCACCAGGGACCCCGGGGGGGGCCACTGCCCACCCCTAGTGTCAGCCTCAGGGCAGCCTATCTTCCCTTCTGCTCCTCTTCGCCAGGGGGCACCCCCAGAGCATCATAAGGGAAATTCAGGCCAGAAATGGCCTCACTGCCCCCAAACTCCTCCCCTACCTCTATCTTCCTCCCTCCCAAAGAGCTGGTAGAATCCAGAACTTTGACCCTACCCCGTGGCCCCAGCAGTGACTCAAGTTTTATGAAGGGCAGAGATGAAAAGGGCTGAGGCTCAGTGAAGCCTGACCTGACTCCAGGACCACTGCTGGTGGTGGCAGCGAGTGGCCTGGCCTCGCACAGGGTCTGAGTTGGGGGCTTCGGGGGGGGGGGGGGCTGGTGACCAAAATGGATTCCTAATCCTTTCCCCAGGCCAGAATTACTGAGAGCAGGACTGACACCTCAGGCAATGGGTTGGAGCTCCTTGCTAAGCTCTGACCAGATGCACTGTCCTCACTAAGGAGCCTCTTTCTTGTATAGAAACCCTGTCTGCCTTGTGGGACTCACACCCATGAAATGTCACCCCCTTGCTGATCCCCTCACCGAGTCTCCTCTCCAGTTCTGAATGACAATTATAGCTGCTACCATTCACTGAGAGGCCCTGTCCCTGAGAGTACTGGGCAGTGCCTGGATTTAAGTCATTCATTCACTCACTCTGCTAATGGTGTTGGGTGATGTGCTCGGCCCTGGCTAGGCTGATACACAGCCAACTTTCCCATCAAAAGTGGTGTCTTAGAACCACCGGGGGTCAAAGTCCTGGACACGAAAACAGACATCTGGGCCCTCTCTGGTGGCTCAATGGGTTCAAGCACAGCTCTATGAAGCTCTCCACAGCTGCTGCAGCATGAGTTTGATCCCCGGCCAGGGTGGGGGGGTGACCCACATGGCACAGCTGCTGTCTCACTGTCTCCTGTCTCACTGCTGCTCCTCTTAGCAGTGTACAGCCAATCTGCCTGTTCTGCCATTATAGTCTGTCTCTGGTGAATCCCCTGCACCTCTGGCTTGTACCCCAGTTCTGTATGGATTAAAACAAATCTTTTTTAATTAAATTGTTTTTGCAAATTAAAAAAATATTTCATTTATTTATGCATACAGAAATGGGGTATAGGCCAGAGGTGCAGGGTGGCAAGAGGATTCACCAGAAACAGAGTGGGGAGCAGAAGAGGCAGATCGACAGAGTACACTGCTGAGGGAATCAGTGGGTGAGATAGGAGAGGTCTGCTGTGCCATGTGGGTCACCTCCCTGCTCAAGGATTGAACTCAGACTGAAGTGGCCACGGTTTGGCTTAGCTTTGCTGTGCAACGCTCCATCCCACTGTGTCACCAGGGAGAGCCCAATAAATAAATCTTTAAGAAAATAAACAGGCATCTTCAGTCTACATAGGTTTTAGAAAAGCAACAGAAGAGTAGTTTCAAAGGCAGCCACTGGTAATCAGATGAGATATTGTCAATGATCGCCCACCAATCAGAATCCAATGCCTTTCTCAACCCAGCCCTGGGCCAACACCCTGACAGGAACTCATTCCACAAGCATGTGGTCATCTGCTTCTACTTGCATACCTGCAGGGACAGGGAGGTCACCATTTGACAGTTGATCTATCCCATTCTTGGACAGTCATGACACTAGAATTGTCTTCAGACTGTGCCTGCCTATAGCTCCCCCTTTTTGTCCCTGCTCTGAAGACAACACCCTGATGACCCAGGATGACTGTCCTCAGCCAGCAGAGGTACCCAGTCCCAGAGCCCTCTCATCTCCTGGGCCCTAGACCAGAGTAGATTTGTTAGCAGGGTGACCTATGACCTCCAAATAAGGTGTGTGAAACTGGGAAGGGAGAGGCTGAGGAGGGGGCGGGGGGAGTGTGGGAAAGAGCCTTGTCTAACCCAACAAGTCCTGGATTCTCCCTCTTACCTGTGAGTCACCCCCAAACTAGGCCAAACCAGTCCGCAGGCCCAGAGGCCCGCAAATGCATGCTGTGTCACAGGCACATACAGACACAGGCCCGCAGGTCCCACAGGCACAAAAACACACCCAGGCACCCAGACTCACACAGGCAGAGGCACACACACAGCCACAGCTACAGACACCCAGAGACACACAGACATGCACGTCACTCGCCTGGGAACACCAGACCCGATGACACACACGTGTGTGTGGGTCACAGTCCACACACATGGTCATTTCACAGCCCAAGTCCCCCCTCTTGGAATTCGCCTGCACCTAGACTGACACACGATGCACGTCCACACATTCCTGCTCACCATCCCTCTGTGTCCCTCCTCCCCATGACCCAGAGACTCCTCCCTAGAGGGGACACAGAAGAGCGGTATCCCTGCAGGTCCCCTTCCTCCCTCTCCAGTGAGCCCAAGCCAGCAGCCTGAGCCTTCTGCCCCCCACAAAAGCCAGCCAGTGGCAGGTGGACCCCAGTGCCTCCAGGAAACCTGCTCCCTCTCCCCTCACTCCCCCCAAGGCCAGCTTCCTGGGCCCACCTTCCCTCTCTGTGCCTTTCTCTCAACTGGGACACCCAAGGAGGCCCCACATCTCCCTCTGCCAGAGGACCATAGATCTACCTCCACAAGGGCAGAGAAGCCCTGAGTCCACACGGCAGCCACGCTCGGCCCTGCCCTGCCTGCGCAGGGCTGCCCAGGAGGGCAGGGCACAGAGGTGGTAAGGGCACAGGTGCCTGGCGTTCAAATTCTGGCCCCTTCACCTTCTCATTGGCTTTGGGCAAGGGATGAAGGGGTGAAGCCTCTCCTAGCCTGAGATCCTCTATTGTAATCAGGGGTGGGGAGCAAGATTAGTCCTGCTTCTTTGGGTTGTTGCAGGGATTAAACAGAATTATGCTTCCCAAACAAGCCATGCATGGCAGACACCACTGTGCTCACTCAGAACTGCTCAGAGCTTGGGGATCCCTTCCTGGTGGTCCTGGGGGGTCCCATGTCTGCCCTCTTAGTGTGTTTTCAGGGACCCACCTCTCTGAGCCCACCAGGCAGAGCTGGGAGGGTCATTTCAACACAAATAAAAACCGAGGCTTGGGAATCTGGGTGCCTGTGCCTGTGGCCGCCAACACAGCCAGGCGGGGTAATTATCGCTGCGACTGAGGCTTATTAATAAGCATCCCTGCTATTTTGGCGGCCCGACTCTCTGGAGTTCAAAGCACGTCCCTGTCACCACCTCCTCCTTCCTCATCCCCAGCAACCTGCTAACTAGACAACTCAAGACCCAGAGAGGTTAAGCAACTTGCTCCAGGACACCCAGCACTTTGGGTGGATGCCTAATCCTAAGATGGCTCTGTGGCCCCCTGAACAGGGCTGAGGAGCGGTGAGTGCTGCTGACAAGGTGGCCCTCCCCCATTCTCTCCCTGACAGAACCCCACCACCACCTCAAAGGAGGTAGGCAAAGGAGGAGAGCAAAGGAAGGTTCCAGGAGGTAGCCTGGAGCGGAG